TACCGGGGTGGGGGAGCCCCTCCGCACTTCTTGGGTGCAGGGAACCTCCTCCGCAGGCTTAGTGGGTGGGAGGAGGTGCGGGTCCCTGGGAGCCTGCAGAGCCTGTTTCCTTGGGTTGGGCTGACCCCTGGCGGTCATTCGGAATCCCGGTGAGTGACCCAGGCTGTGTCCCTTTTGAAAAGAGAATCGCCTTCCTGACGTTGGCACCGAGGGTGACAAGCGAACCTCCCCGTGTGGCCTGTGGTTACTCTTGCATCTCCTCCCAGTCTGGAGTCCTGGTGGGGTTTGATTAAGAGTGCGTCCCCTTCCGCAGGTCTCTTCCTGCTCCGCGGGTGCCTGTCGCTGGAGGTGTCTGTGGGCAAGGCCACTACCATCTACGCTGTCAATGGCACCGAGATCCTGCTGCCCTGCACCTTTTCCAGCTGCATCGGCTTCGAGAACCTCCGCTTCTGGTGGTCCTATAACAGCAGCGATACATTCAAGATTGTAAGTAGTGGGGGAGGGACAGGACGGCCCAGCCCCATCTCTTCTAGACCCTTCTGCCCTGAGCCTCGCTGTGACAGTCCCCGGAACCCACGGTTCATCACCCATCGCTTCCAGCCTTCTTTGCGGAGCCTGCCTGGAAGGATCTAAGCGGGAGGGAACGCTACCCTTTTCCAGGACGACCTTGCTAGAATCTGGGGTCTGTTGAACGGAATTCTTGGCTAGAGTCTGCTGATGGGTCTTGAGAAGCCTCTGGCAATGGAGTCGCTTGTGTAAAAGATAAAACAGAAACAAGCAGGAGAGAGGGCCACTGTTTGGCTCGTTGGAGAGAGGGAATAGGAAGTCTGGTGAGGGAAGGCCCGGGACCTGGTGTTGGGAGGATAGGAAGACCAGAGGAGAGGAGAGCTGGAGGGGCTATGCAGAACCGTTGACAGGGCTGTGGGGCAGGCGTGGGGGCCAATCAGATAGCAGGAACACAGTGCAGTGCACTGGAGCACAAGGGAGATGTAAGATACCAACTCCACATTGAATTCAACGCTGGGCTCAGAGCGTGGTGATGGCCAGGGCTATAGGACTGGCCCAGGCCCTTCATGGAGAATCAGAGTTTAGATGGACAGGGGCCACAGTGCCAGGAAAGCTGGAGTGGGAAGTGGTAGAAAGAAATGAGCGTGGCCCTTGCAGGAGTCATTACCTACAAGGCTTTTTCATGCAGAGAGCAGTAAGACGCATGCTGCATTCCATGGAGAGTGTACACTGCAGTATTATTCACACAAGTCCAAAGGTGGAAACAACCCCAGCGCCCACCAAAAGATGAGTCGATACGCGAAAGGGGGTGTACACACACAGTAGGGGCATGACGCAGCCACGAAGTGGGCGGGAGCCTGCTGCTGCTGCTGTGAGGTGTTCTGGCCACGAAAGCCTCCCCCGGAGTGAAGGACAAATACTGGCGGGCCCCACTTGTGGGAAATGTGCAGGTCAGGCAAATACAGGGGACAGGAAGCAGCGGCTACTAGGGGTGAGGGGCAGCGGGGATGAGACCGTGTTGCCTAAGTGGTACAGGGTTCTGTTTGACGTGAGGAAAACATCTACTCATTGGACAGCAATATGGCGATGGGTGCGCATCACTTTGAACAGGAGCCATGCCACTGAATTATACGTGTGAACCAGTGACAATGGCAACTTGACCGTTATCTGTATGTTAGCACGCTCTGAAGACGCGGGTCTAGCTTTCAGCAAGCAGGAGCGAGGGGAGATGAGCCCAGCCGGGGCAGCACCTCAGACTTGGGCTTTCCCAGGAGGGAGGTGGAGTGATGTTCTGACCTTCTCTGACCCCGCCCCCTCTCCTCCCCAGCTCATAGACGGAACTGTGAAGAACGAGAAGTCTGACCCCAAGGTGAAGTTGAGAGATGAGGAGCGCATCACTCTGGTGGGGTCCACGAAGGAGAAGATGAACAATATTTCCATTCTGCTGAGGGACCTGGAATTCAGTGACACGGGCAAATACACCTGCCACGTGAGGAACCCCCGGGAGTACTACCTTGAGCACCAGGCCACCATCTTCCTCCAAGTTGTTGACAAACGTACGCCGCAGGGGCTGGGGCAAGGGCAGTGGAGTGGGCAGGGCTGGGGGATGGCGGCACAGTGAAAATGTGGGTGCAGTCTTTCACTTCACTACCAAGCACCGCAGGAGTCTCCTCTGGAAGCTTGTAGACGTCAACGTGAATGTGTGCTCGGCTGCTCAGCTGCTTGTGAAAACGCTCAGCCCCCAGCTAAGCCTCGTTTTCCGGTCTGTACAATGGGCTCTGGCTGCATCCCTCCACGGCTGCGCTGAGGGTTAGGGAAGCAGTTGGAGGTGCTTGGTGACTGCCAGGCTCGCTTCCTCTATGCCGATCGTTGCTCCTCTTGTGGACTCCACTAACCAAGGTTGATGAGGTATCAGGTGCTGTTCTAGAACATTCTGTGGCGGGACATAATGTTTTCTCTTTGCAGAACGTGCAGTTTAGGAAAGAGCAGGAAACAGGGTAAGAGAACACACGTAACTGAAATAGGAAGCAGAGCACGGTGATCTGTCCGGAAAGGCACCGATGACAGAGATTGAATAAGACATGCCTGTTCCCTCCGGGAGCTTATCGCCTAGTGTGTTACAGGTGGGCTAACTGGACAACAAGAATGGGTATGATCAGGAGCCAGGCAGGTCACACCTTCCCGAGGCTGAGGACAGCAGTTGCAGAAGGGGAGCTGCTAACAAAGGCCAGCGAAGTTAGGCTGGGCTGCAGGGGCCGGAGGAGCCCGGGAGGCTAGGGAGGTACACAGGCAGAGAGCCAGGCTGCCGGCTCGGCTGTGCTTTGTCTGTCACAGGGAGTTCTCTGCTCTCCGGAGTGAGGTGCCATGCCTGTGGTGGGAGATGCCCTGGCTTAATCTGGACTACGCCAGAGGCAGAGCGGGAGGCCATCTACAGCTTGGTCTGGGCCTAGAGTGTTTGAGTCAAGTCTACGTAGGGTGGCTCCTTTTCTTCTCTGTCTGGGCTGCTCCTGTCTCCCGCTTGGGGCTTTGTCTTCTGGGAAGGGAAAAAAAGAGCAGAGGCAAGGTTGATGAAGCCTGTCTGGGTGCCAAGTGCTGGGTGAGGTGCGTTCACTCCCCTTAGCTCCTTATAAGTAAGGTCTCTGCAAGGTGGGTTCTCTCCATTAGGATGGGTGCCTCAATATATCTGCTCAACCAGCATGTACCCAGCACCTATCCCGTGGCAGACGTGCTTCTAGGTCAGTGATTCTCAACCTGTGGGTCGTGACCCCTTTGGGGGCCGAACAACCCTTTCACAGGGGTCGCCCGATTCATAACAGTAGCAAAATGACAGTGATGAGGTATCAATGAAGATTATTTCATGGTTGGGGGGGCGGTCACCACATGAGGAACTGTATGAAAGGGTCGCGGCGTGAGGAAGGTTGGGAAGCACTGCTCTAGGGGATGGGGAGGCAGCAGGAGCCAGGAAGAGAGAGCGCTGCTTCGTGGAGATGACATGCAATCCGCGAAACACAAAGAACGCCGTTTGTATCACAGAGCAGGGTG